GATCTTCTCCAAACTTTTCAAGTGCACACTGACCCCAGTGAGATAGGACTTGGCACTGTGTTGACATAAGTGGTTGACAAAGAAGAAAAGGTCATTGTTTATGCATCCAGGAGCTTGAGGGGTGCTGAGTGAAACTATTCCACCTCAGAAAAGGAGTGCCTTGCTGTGGTTTAGGCTGTGGAAAAGTGGTATCATTACCTGTAAGGAAGCCCCTTTGTTGTATATACAGACCATGCCGCTCTTTCATGGGCTTTCAATCCTCTCAAAACTACATCACGGCTTACCAGGTGGACCTTGAGGTTGCAACGCTTTGAATTCCAAGTGCAGTACAGGAAAGGGTGCATGAGCAGTTCCAGATCCCTTATCCAGGTCTATAGAATTACAGGATGGTGCAATGGTGGCTGTCTATATATCCAAAAAAGCCACTGACCTGAAATGTGGCACTTCCAACCAGCCCAACTGAGGTACGCTTAGCTCAAAGCAAAATGACTTATTTTAAGTGCCTTCAGTTTGGGACACAGCCATTATGTTCTATAGCGCTGATTTAGGAGACATCAGGACATTGAGACAGCTGCGTCAGTTTGGGACACTGCCGTTATTTTCCTTCAGTCTGAATTAAACATTCTGCTCTTTATTTCATGATTCTGCTATTAGAGAACTGATGGTGTTCATTTCAGTCCAGAACTGCTGCAGTGGCTGTCAGGTTCCACTCGGGAGCTGTTTGACTCTCCAGCTGCACTTGTAATCACTCCCTTATACAGAAATAGTGCATTGTGTAGTGGGTCAGACATTTTTAGGGTTGTTTGAAATGCCAGCAGTAAATTTCATTCCCTATGTACTTCACTATCAAATCCATTTCAAATGTAAGTGTACAGTCTATGTACGCTACAGTTAGAGACAATATATGTGTAGTAACGCTACACAAATTTCATGATATTATGGTATTGTCATATTTGTATCAGGATCATTTTCCTAGAAGTTACAGAATAACTAAAACTAGTTTACAAAAGTGCAACATGTAAATTATGTATTTGTCATTATGGCTCTACAAGTTCTTTTACAAGCAGATCTTATGTTTGTATATAAAGTGAGGCTCTTCTGGCTGAAATGAGTGAGAGGGGATTTTCTAATGTGGCTCAGTAACTCCCAACAAACTGATGAATCCAGAACTCGACAGTCTGAGACCTTTTGTGGAGAAGTAACTGTTTTCTCCTCACTCTAGTAACTGGGACATTTGGGTGAGTCTTCACAAATGAGTGAACTTATCTGTATCAGAACAGGTATTTAAAGTTGTTCAGTGCACCAGTCTTTGAGCATTGTTAATGCACTCAACTGGGAAACTGAAGTGTTACCAAACAGAAGAATGTGAGGATAATTCTCTGAGAATTATGCTGAGAAAAAAATCAGTGGGCCCCCAGCTTTGCCATTTGCATGCCAACAGTGGCCCACTGCATTCTTACTCATGGCGTGGGTGGAACTCTTTCCAGACTGGGGGCTGCTGTGTGCTGTGGGTGAAGTATTTCCTGTGAAGTAACTATAAAAGAAGTGACCCACCACCCAACACTTACATGGTCAGCCTGTTTCACTGGGGTTTAAATATGAGGCCTAATTCTCTTAGTCTTCTATCTCTATGTGAAAGACCAGAGAAAACAGCAATGATGTGCAACAGAAGGTTGTTGAGCTGCACAAGTCAGGAAATAAACAGGTATGGTACTGTTAATAATTAAGACATTTAAAAGTACTGGAGCTGTTAAGAATCTGCTGGGAGGAGGACGTATGTGTATACTGACCCCACGCTCTGTAAGGACGAGTCGAGGTCGAATGGACAGAATCTTCAAGGCTCACATTTGGGGAATTGTAGACATTAGTCAGATCTTTTCATCAGAACATTCCCCAACTACAATCAAACGCCACCTACAGAACCACAAGTTGTTTGGGAGGGTTGCCAGAAAAAAGCCTCTGCTGATAAGAACCAACAAACCTTTTGTGATTGTGAGACATTACTAGAACTTTTAGTGGAACTGTGTTCTATGTTCAGATGAGACCAAAATAGAAGTTTTTGGCAACAAACACTAGAGGATGGTTTGGTGTAGACACAAAGACAGCCATGCAGAAAGCACCTCGTCCCCACTGTGAAATGTGGTGGATCTGTGATTTTGTGGGGCTGTTTTTCTTCCAAAGGTGGACAACTTATTCAATAATACTCCTTGTGTGTACTGTATACTTTGCCAAGATTCAAAATTCAAGAGTTAATTGTCACATGCACAGAAAAACAGACGGCTGCACTGTGCAATTAAATTCTTACTCTGCACTACCTTCTGGAATACAAGTTACTAAAAATATATAAATACAAAGTACTAAGTAAGGAGAACACAGAAAAACAGAAGCAGCTATGACAAATTCTAACAGGCAAAAGAACAGAATGCATGCACAGTGCACAATATGAGTGCAAATGAAAATACTGTGCAATAGTTCTGTGCAATAGCAGCTGAATAGGACTCCAATGAGTAAAAGCAGATATTAAATCAAAACCTGGCTGCCTCAGCCAGAAAGCTTAAACCGGGTCATGGTTGGAACTTCCAGCAGGACATTGACCCAAAGCACACTTCAAACTCAACATAAACACTGGTTCACTGACCACAGAATCAAGGTTTTGCCAGGGCCACCCCACTCTCCTGACCTAAACCCCATAGAAAACCTGAGGATGAGCTGAAGAGGAGAGTCCACAGTGTGCACCTTGGAATCTGAAGGATCTGGAAAGATTCTGTTTGGAGGAATGGTCTCAGATCTCGGGCCTGTGTCAGGTTTCTGTAGGCTGTCCTAGTGGTACTGCCCACCCAAATCCAATAAGGGCCCACAGTGGGCTGGATGAGCCCAGTGTGGCGTGACCCCTAGTGTCAAGTTATCTGTTGGCGAACCCAATGGTGTGCTGTCCAAACAGAAATGGTTTAGGGCCCACGTCACTAAACCCACAGTGGGCCCTAAACCATTTCTGTTTGGACAGTACACCACTCTGGGCTGACTCACAGTGGGGCAGTACATTGTTAGGTGTTGGCTAGCCCACAGATCACCCTCAGCGGGTCTAGACCAGCAGGTTTGCAAGAGATTAAGGATTTTTATTTATTTTTTAAAACAATGTTCATAGCCTCAAATTGGCTGAACGTTTTTGGAACGGTTTCAGGCATCGATTTCAGAATGAGTGTAAATTTATTTAAAAAAACAATGAATTTGTTGAGATAAAACATTACATATCTCTTCTTTGTACTGTTTTTGATAACTTTCATGTCTCGAGACAAAGATAGTGTCTTCACTCATACGTCTCAAGACTCAAGATCTTGTCTAATACTGTCAAGACATCTTAAGGCACAGTGACAGCTGGCTATGTTTTTTGTAAAGCAATGCTTTTTTGTACAACATTACCGATGTAAAATTTTCGGAAGTGCTCATATCATTCTGTGATAGTCTGTATATAATAGTTTCATAATATATGGGTGCTCAGACCTGCACAGGTATACAGATATTCATATCTGCACATGTATAGATACCCACACATCTTTTCAGCTCCTCTCCATCACTCTTTATTATTCATCATTCTTTATTCTATTTATTGTATTTTGTGTTAAAGTGATTCTGATTATATTCAGTAATTTATCTGTAGTACATCATTTCTGCTCCTAGGAATCTACATTGTGGAGGTGTAAAAAGGTTAATTTGGTGATTTGATTTTTAGTAATAACTTGAAACTTTAAATATATTACTAAATCTTTGCTATATGGTTTATATTCAGTATTTACCCCTTGTGTGGTGTTGGGGTCTGTGGGACCGATTTTCAATGTTTACCAAAAGAAAAATGATGCAATTTATCATTACTTAAAAATCAAACTTCTTGGTCTTCTCTCATTTTCTGTGAAGAACATATAAATGAATACATTTTCATTGAATTCACACTGTAACCCCCCCCCCACACACTTATATTACACACATGGTATTCAGGTTATAAAAGTGCGAAGGTGTTCTGTCCCTTCACTCTGTCCTCCTCCTATATTGGCCTGCTGGTGAGACCTCAAATCCAGAGAACACAACACAAGAAGCCCAGCTTCTGCAGCTAGAGCTGGATTCAGGAGGAGGAGGCTGGAGTCCCTTCAGCCCACAGACCCACAGAACCACCATCTGCAGAAACAGATGACTTTCTTACCTTGACCAACTTTAATTGTGTGTGTGTGTGAGAGAGAGAGAGTGAGAGAGAGACAGAGAGAGAGAAATATGTGAGAAAAATTCCTGATCTAAGTATTTTCATCATTCTAGGTTGTGGCCAGTAGCAACAAACAGAAGTGCGGTGAGGGTTTTGGACCCAAGATGGACCAAAGGACACAGCAAACATGCAAGAAACACATGTGTGTTGTGTAGTCTGGCATGAGTAGACTGTGTGTTCAGTGGGGCTGGTGTCTTATACAGACTGATGTGGATACTGTATCTGTTCAATGGTGCTGATGTTTTTTCAGACTAATATAAATGGGTTTATTTTTTTAGCATTGTTTTATTTAGATTTGTTCAAAATATATTTTTCCACCCATATGTTGATACTGATTTTTTCCTTTTTTTTTTGTGAGTTTTATCAAAAAAAATAGATAGCACTATTGTTTATGGATATGAACTAACACAGGTGAAGTAAGTCATTCATTCACTACTACAACCTTGTGGAAGCTTGGAAAAATTACTGGTGATTTTTAGTAATAATCTAACATTGTAATTTATTACTGTATCTGTGATATTGGATTTTCAAGTAAGATCTCATGTGTAGTAAACATACAATCAGCCTTAATAGCCACTACAGTCAATACAGCCTTTAAATAGGCTGATGCATGTTAAATGTTTAAATATGTTAAATGTAAACCTTCACAGTTTTCCAGGTTGAGCACTTTTTAGACGCTACCTTGAACAGTAATGCGTGGGTGTGTTTCTGCTCATAGTCTTTCTGCTCAGTGAATTTTACTGAAGGAAACTGGTGAAATATATGTGGTTGTAGTTTGTTCTCTGTGTTTTTAGGAGTGAGGAACTGTAGATGTGGTCATTTCTGCATGTTTATTTCAGGAGAGAACAGAGAGAGAAAGTCGAATATCCAGCGAATGTCCACACAGCTCACAGCTGAGCACTTCCTGATTGAAACCTGAAAGTAAAGTGGAGCAGCAGCGCTGTAGGAGAAGACGGACCGAGAGAGAGAGAGAGAGAATCACACAGTAACAGAGACTTTATTACACACGGTAAGTTATAATAAACACACACATTCAACACTGATGTGTAGATTACAGAAAGAACACGTGTTTTACAGTTTATAACTACTTCTAGCAGAAGTGAATGTACAGTAGTGAGAGTGCTAGATCAGGGTTTGAAATGGCCGACAAAGAGGTTCTCAGAGTTTAACTTTAAGTAACACAACTGACCTGAATTTAAAGCATGAAAAGGAAGTTCATTTTAAATCATTGTTCATGTGAGAGAGTCAGTCTAAAAGAAATGTATGTAAAGCGCATTTATCAAATACATAAAAAAAAAGTATAAAAAAATTACTTCCCCATTTTAGGTTACTTAGCTCAAAAACAAGCACAGAAACCAAAATATGTGGATTTGATTTGATTTAGAGTTTATGTAGAAAATACACTGTTGATCAATACATGGTCAATATCAGCTCCAGTGATCAGACTGAGTATTATGGTTTGTTCTGCTGTAGTTTATACTGTGAGATCTGCTGAAATCCAGAGTCTCTCCTTGTGTGAACTGAATACTTGGACAACAGGACTGAGATAGAAGAGTCATTTTGATCTTGTTGTGTCATTGTTCTGCTATCTGGTGTGATTGACAGGTGAACTGCAGGGAGTAATTAATCAATTAAGATCAAAGTTCTAGTCATGTGGAAACGTGAAATTAAAGAGCAAAAACGTTTCTGTGTGAATATGTATAACTATAAACATTGTAAGAGTGAAATTAAAGTAGGATCTGCAAACTGTGTTGGTTATATATCATTTTTAATATGATAGACTGCAAATCATTAATATATTTTTATACTTTATGTTGATAAACAATTAGTTTGATTGAATTTAAATACATTACTGTTTTATTGGGGCTTCTTAAGTAGGAATTTGTAAACAGTGTTGATTAAAGCACAGACTGTAAAAGACATGTTCATGTGCAGTAGCGCTGTTCAGCCAGCAGAGGGAGGAAGTGGACTGCAGTAATTTGGGCTTTTTAAAGAAAGAGTTTATACACATAAACACATTTTCACAATTTTAGGGTAAGTGGAAAAAATTAAAGATCAGAGATTGTTTATTAAATCTGATGTGCAAAAAGATGTTTTAAAAGCAGTTTTAAAAAGTGTGCTGCAGAGGTGCTTTTCAGTGGTAGTGTCTATCGCTCCTCAGAAACTGTGATATAAAGTGCTCCTCAGACAGTTTGAAAGTTTCAGGCTTCTTCCATTTCTGGGCTGTTGCCATGTCCTTGCTTAAAATATGCCCATAAACATGCCCATTAAGGCTCTGTCCTGTACTGGGTTGCAACAGTTTTTCATACGTTCACATTTAAGTTTGTGCATAAAGTCTTTACTTTGTCCTTATTTACACTAGTTCATTTCAGCCTTTCAGATCTTTTACTAAATTTGGTTGCATCAAATCTTTAAGTCATTTCTTAACTGGTAACTACTAACTGACGCGTATGTCGCTTTAAGATGACAATAACATGTTCAGATCCAGTCTATAAACCTGCTGCCATGGAAACATGAAAAATCCACTACAGAAGAGAACAATGTGCACAAGTTCAAAAGTTTGGTTGTACAATTGAACTAAATAAAACACAATACTAATATATATCGTTTGTTTGTTCGTTTATTCTTTAATTTTTCCTCAAGACAACTGAGTGTGTAGCTTTATTACATTTAGACGTTAGATGAATCTCACAAAAACTAGTTTGTGTTGATTTAGTGATCTGTAAACCTTAACTTAGCAAACACAGCTAGTGTAATCAGCCTCTACTGCTTTAGCATTACTGCCCCTCAGTGGTGGAACTAACTTTCTCCTCTCACCTCTTCAGGCAGTACCTAGATTAACACATCCACTCAGTGACACTTCATTTCTTAATCACTCTGTTATTTCTCTGCAGTCCTCGGCACCATTCATCTGTGGTTTAATGCTTCATATAAAAAAACTGCTCCTTATTCATTCTCCTAAATGTCTACACTTGTATTTATGAATTTGATTAGATCATGCTGTGGTTCGATTTGTATCTGTTATTTACAGTTTAGAGACTCTTGCAGTATCTCTACGTTCTTTTTATAAGCTTGGCTTTGTTTGTATGTTTTGTAAATCGCTCTGGATAAGAATATCTGCTAAACAACTCAGTGTAAATATAGACTGTATATTTAGTGACTGTACTACCCCATTTCCAAAAAAGTTGGGATGCTGTGCACATGTTTCTGGTATCAAATTCAAAATGGGCATATATTTTTCAAGAAACAATACAATTTCTCAGTTTCAACATCCGATATGTTGTATTTGTACTATTTTAATTAAATATAGAGTTTTAATGATTTGCACATCATTGTATTCTGTTCTTATTTACATTTTGCACAGCGTCCCAATTTTTCTGGAATTTATTTCTTGTATAATGTGTAATACTATTGATATTCAATTTATTAAATAAATATAGTAAATCTGAGCTTCTTAGTCAAAAAATAAAATATTAAATTATGAAGGATTCCTAGCAGAGCTGTAATGATTCTTGATTCAGGAAAAAAACTTGAAAGCTTAGTACAGCATTGAAAAGAATTTTTGGTTGTTAAACTATTTTAACCTCATGGTGCATCTTTAAATACAGCCTGCAGGTTCCAAGAATGTAGAAATACCACATAAAACGTACTATATTAAATTAGGTTTTATTTTAAAGAGAAAGTCATATATGCTCATGTGAGCATATTAGCATGAAACCAGTAGATTTAAAAAGTGAAATATTATTATCTTATTCTTCAGCTCAGGACAAAGCATCTTAGTGTTAAGATCATCTTAGAGAGTGTTCAGTCTGATGCTCACTCTACTATTTAAGAATTCTTTTTGTGCTCAGATGTTTCTAAGAAATTCAGTTCATTCGTTCTGCTGTTAAACTCAATTTAAGATGTGTTTTAAAACCTACTAACTATAAAAAGCTGAGCCAACTAAACTAAAAAGCTTTGCTTTTCAGGAATTCAGTAAAGGATTTTGCCTGATTTTATAATGGAAATCAATTATACAACCTGCAAGGGCCTAGACGAGCTGGTGTGGAATAACCAACAGTGACCTCTTAGAACATGCAGGGAATGTCATCCCATGTACTATAAATAGTTGTACAGATGGATGAATACATTTCTTTTTTATTATTTAATTCTTTTATTGTTAGAAAAATTAATAATATAAAAATGTAAAAAATGTATTTTACTTTATATTTATTTCTATATTTATTCATGTTTGTTATTTATAATGTTGTATATTTAATATTGATTTCAAATGGCATTTCATAGTGTTTGTGTTTCGTATTGGCCAAAGACATTTATGTTGAACATTGTGACTACAACAAGCAGTCAGACAGTGATGCAGGAATGAATATCAAACAAGAGAAAAGTGTTGACTTGTGGATAATTCAGACATGTCCATGAAACTGACAGCAGCGATTAACTGTATATGTGAATACAGATGTGTGTGATTTCAGTGTTTTCTCCTCACTGTGTGAACAGAACTCAACTCTGAATATGGATGTTAATAATTAAACACTCTTATTGCATGTTCACTTCAAATGTTGTAGTTTTATTAGTTTATCAATACTGCATGATGCTGCAATGACAACAAACTCATGATCTTACAGTGAGTGTGTTCAACATCCTGTGTATATTTTGTGTCCGAGTAGTGCACAGAAATCCAGAGTAACAGCTCTGTGATGGGTGTTCATCACTCCAGCAGTGGAGGAGGAAACTCTGATCCACCGTGAGTAACTTTATCTGCACTGATTAAGAAGAACAAATGAAAATGTATCAAAAGAAAATATTTTACAAATGTTTAGCAGTTATGTTCAGACATAGTGAGATGTAAACTCTTAAAAAGGATGGTTCTTTAGTAAAGAACATGGTTCTGAACTGAACAGAACTATGAACGCTCAAAGAAACCTCTGCTTGATTAAAAGGGCTTTGCATCATGAAATATTTCTTAAGACTGATGGAGAGTGTCTCGTTTATGGTTTATGTAGAACCTTTTTGAAAAGGGTTCTAAAAGGGCTCAAAAAAAGGGTTTCAAAAAGGGCTCTTCTGTTGTTACAAGCTTGGCGTCGTAACAGTAGAAGATCTCTTTTATTGTTCTAATTATGCAATTTAATCATGCGAAGAGTTCTTTGAGTGTTCATAGGTCTGTACAGAATCATTTTCTTTACTAAAGAACCCTTGAAGAATCATTCTGTTAAACACCATGTAGTAAATACATTATTTACTAAATACTTTACTCTCATCATGCTCTCAGGTTAAAGCATGCAGGATCTCCAGAACCCAGCCATGTGTCTATGAAGAGTGACCGGTCCCTACCTGAGCCTCCTGGATTCAGCAGAGGAGGAGGAGAACCCAGCTGTGTGTCTATGAAGAGTGACCGGTCCCTACCTGAGCCTCCTGTATTCAGCAGAGGAGGAGGAGAACCCAGCTGTGTGTCTATGAAGAGTGACCGGTCCCTACCCGAGCCTCCTGGATTCAGCAGAGCAGGACGAGAACCCAGCCGTGTGTCTATGAAGAGTGGCTGGTCCATGCCTGAGGATCCTGGATTCAGCAGTGGAGCTGTGCCCTCTGACCCAAAGTGAGTTATTGTACAGTTAAAGAACTTTAGAATGTACACACCTAGGCAAAAAGGTTCTGGCTGGTCAGAGTCCGCATTTAAACCCTAAAGAGAATATTTGGTCTCACATTAAACACAAACTAGCTCAGCAAAGTTTTTCAGCTGTTTGAAGCCGTAAATGCTGAGTGGATCAATACTGATTTTGTTACGTTATGTATTTGTTTAATGATTTGTTGTTAAGACCATTAAAAGCTTAATGTTTTTCCATTTTGGGCTTGGCCCATTTTTTTTTCCAAGATTGTTGCACACAGTTTTTCTTGGTGCTCCGTGACTGTGACTTTAAATTGAATTTTATAGATTGGTAAAAATATTAATATAATCTAGAAAAATTGTGTTAGATAGCCATTCATTATGCATTCACCATTTATTTACAAATGTATGGAACATAAAACTATTGTTAATGTTTTGCTTCAGTCTACAAATAGTAATATTGTGTTTTATAGTGTTACAGCCAGTAAACTACTTGTCTGGGGGTCTACTGAGGTCACCACAAGAAAAAAGAAAAAGTGGCATGAAGAGCCATATTTCAAGAAAAACTCTGGGCCATGTTCTTTCTTCTTTCCATTTCTTTACAGCATTACATTTTTTAGTTCAGCTAAGAAAAAAAAAGGGGAGGGCTAACACCAAAATAATAAAACTTAAATCAAAGAGCAGGAGATCAGAAAAGCTGAATAACCTAGCAAAAAGAAGGAAAAAAACAAAATCTTCCTGAATCAACAACAGAAGAAAAAAGTAAATTCAATAGAGGCCTACAGCCTGGCTGTTAGTCACTGTAAATGAGTTAGAGAAGTGGTCTCTACGCTCAGTTGTGTTCTAAAGTTCAAAAACAGTTACCTCTGCACTAAAATCATAGACACGATGACCAGAGTGTCTTTCACTAAAACAAACAGCTCAACCAGACAGAGAGGCAGACAGAGTGCTGCTGCACAACTGACCACATTAGAAAGGTGCAAGTGTCCAATCAGACAAAGTTGCATGGAGAGTCACTCCAGACCTGCCATGGAGGGAAACCTCTGACTGTGGACTTCAGCTCAGACAATCCAACCGTTACCATACAGTTATTGTTAACAATCTGTAAGTGTAACACAAAATCATAATTATCAGATAGAACCTCAATCATATTGTTTTAGTTCCCATAAATTGTTCTGCAGTTGTTAAACATGTGAAAACACTTGAACACTCTGAAAATCATATTTTGGTAAGTAAGTTATCTCAGCTACCCAGCAATGTCTGAATACATATGTGCTAACTCAGCCTTCAGCGTCTGGAACACAGTTTGTTTCTTTAACGAAAACATGAAGTTCATTGTGGGAACCTGACTAAGATCTGTAGAAAGAGCTATTCATTTAGGTACAAATTAGATTTAAGTATAATTTATTTATAATTACATGAAAATATTACATGTGACAGACCATTTCATCAGTGAGCTGCATTGTGAGCTGTTATTCTGGTTACTTGTGTTGATGTTTGTGTTACTGTGTTTGACCCCATCAGGCTGAGCTCCACAGAACCTACACTGCAGATAAACGCTCTGTTGGAGGAAACTGGAGACCTGAATCAGGATTCTTACCAACCAGTGGATGATGATCTACACAGAGTCTTACAGAGACACAAAACCAGCATGAAGAACAAGTATGAGAGCTTATTTGAGGGAATCAGAACAGAAGAGAATAAAACCCTCCTGAACAGGATTTACACTCAGCTCTACATCATAGAGGGAGAGAGTGAAGGAGTGAATGAAGAACATGAGGTTCTACAGATGGAGAAAACATCCAGGAGACGCTTACAAGACTCTCCAATCAACTGCTTAGACATCTTTAAACCTCTACAAGGTCCTGAAGGAGAAACACGAGAAGAGACCATTAGAGCTGTGGAGGCTGACAGACTCAGACACAGAGAAAGAAAAGATCACAGACCAGAAGAGCCAGAGCTCAGAGCTGCTCTGACTAAAGGCATCGCTGGAATTGGAAAAACTGTCTCTGTGCAGAAGTTCATTCTGGACTGGGCTGAAGGAAAAGCCAATCAGGATGTAGAGCTCATGATTGTGCTTCCGTTCCGGGAGCTGAACCTGATTAAAGATGATCAATACAGTCTTCATGGACTTCTGTGTGACTTCCATCCTGAGCTCAAAGATCTGGACCCAGAGATTCATGATCAGATCAAAGCTGTGTTTATATTTGATGGTCTGGATGAAAGCAGAATTCCACTGAACTTTGAACAGTGTGAGAAAGTATCTGACATCACCATGACATCATCAGTGGGTGTGTTGATTACAAACCTCATCAAAGGAGAGCTGCTTCCCTCTGCTCTGATCTGGATCACCTCCCGACCAGCAGCAGCCAATCAGATCCCTCCTAAATACATCAACCGTGTGACAGAGATTCAGGGATTCAGTGACCCACAGAAGGAGGAGTACTTCAGGAAGAGGATCAGTGATGAAGACCAAGCCCAGAGAATCATCTCCCACATTAAGACAGTGAGGAGCCTCCACATCATGTGCCACATTCCAGTCTTCTGCTGGATCTCAGCCACTGTTCTTCAGAGAATCATGAAACAGCGTCATACAGAAATCCCTAAAACTCTGACTGAAATGTACTCACACTTCCTGATCACTCAGACCAACATGAAGAACGAGAAGTATGAGAAGAAAAGAGAGAGAAACCCAAAGAAGCTGCTGAAATCTAACAGAACCGTTCTTCTGAAACTGGCTGAACTGGCTTTCAAACAGCTGATGAAGGGCAATGTGATGTTCTATGAAGAGGACCTGAGAGAGAGCAGCATTGATGTCACTGAGGCCTCAGTGTATTCTGGGATTTTCACTGAGATCTTTAGGGAGGAATGTGTGCTTCACCAGAGGAAGGTCTACTGCTTTGTCCATCTGAGCTTTCAGGAGTTCCTGGCTGCTGTTTATGTGTTTCACTGCTACAAGAGCAAAAACATGAAGGAACTGCAGATACTTAACCCATGGGGCAGAGAGAGGTTTCGAAATGTTTCACTGGATGAGCTGCTGATGGGAGCAGTGGATAAAGCTGTAGAGAGTCAGAATGGACACCTGGATCTTTTTCTCCGTTTCCTGCTGGGCCTCTCACTGGAGTCCAATCAGAGACTCCTACAGGGTCTGCTGACCTCAACACAGAGCAGCTCAGAGAGAACCAGGGAGCACATCAAGAGTTTAATCAAAGGAGATGATGGTCAAATCTCCACTGAGAGATCCATCAGTTTATTCCTCTGCCTGTCTGAAGTGAATGACCTGTCTCTCTCCAGAGAGATTCAGGAGTATCTAACCTCAGAGAGACACTTGGTGGAGAAACTCTCTCCTGGACAGTGTTCAGCACTAGCCTATATGCTCTTGAATTCAGAGGAGGTTCTGGATGAGCTGGACCTGAAGAAGTACAACACATCAGAGGAGGGTTATAGGAGACTGATCCCAGCTCTGACTGTCTGCAGGAAAGCTCGGTGAGTATTCTATTTATAAGAGTGTACACTTATGTACTATTACTGCATTTTAAACTGTATTTTACTGTAGAATCTTTCTACAGAGTGTTGCTGTAGATGTTGAATGCATTCTGGGATATATTTCACACATTACAGCATTAATACATTATTGTACATTTAAACACAGTTTTAATACCTCACTGTAAAACTATATACAGTAATAGTAACTGACCGTTAAAAAAAACAAAAAGCTCTGATAGAAGTGAATGTGCTCTGGCTACCTAGCTAGCTCCATTTAATTTCACCAGAAAAACTACTGAGCTAATGGTAGTTAGTCTGCCACTCAGTAGTTACAGCAGAATTGCAATTTCGCTTTAGTATTTTTCAGTTTTTTTATTTTTGAGAGCTTGTTCTTCTGTTGAGCACATTATCTTGTAATTGTCATGCATTGTGCTTCCTACTCAAGCACATCGGCAAGCGACCAGCCTCAGTGTTTTGTGCTGGGTGAGTGATTGAACTGTTGTTCAAGTACGCATCCTGTATAGGTTCAAGCCAGAACTCGTGCACTCAGCTCAGGCCCTCCCACCACAACCAAAAGCCACTTCTTCCTTTTCATGTTGTCTCAGCTGCTGGTGACAGACTTGAGTCAGGTATCGTTGCCTCCCATTTGTCAAGTGTGCCACTCTCGGTGTGAGGTAGCATGCATGGATGCAGCAATGACAAGCCTGTATTAATGAGGCCTGCATTTCTCATCTATGCTGCACTCAACCCAAACTCCAAGGTGGCGTCTGATCTTCCTGGCTGTGGCATCGATGCTGAGGGTTCCTTCTCTCTGCACCGTGAACATACCAATTGCTCCACTGCCACTTGCTCGTGGCCACTTGGCAGGTTTTCTGCTTCTCAGGCACCTCCACTGTGTAGCACTGTATTGCTTGTCGCAGCATCTCTATGCCGAGGATGAGTTCTGCCCTCTCTGCCTTGAAGGCTGGCCAGTGCAGCAAGCTGCACGTGTCATCTCAGGTCCTCTGGGAGCAGTGCATTCCAACTCTCTCTGCACAACATTCTCAAACTCCGGGTATGCCTGTCAAACCACTGCACTTAGCTCTGCCAACAGCACACTTATCCACTCTCCCATCAGCCTCCACCTCTCCAGAAACAGCCATCTAACCGACACCACTGCCAGTAACTGATGAAGCGTCACTGGAGGGCTATGGTCAATGCTGCTAGGTTGTCATGTTATTCCAGAGGCAGGACCACAAGCAACTGTAGCGCGTTCCCCTCCAGTGCCAAACACACTAGGTGACCACTTCTAGCTGTGCACAGTATGGCTCCCTTTGCCATTGTAGCATGGTAAGTGGATGTGAACGCTCTCTCTCTCGCTCGCTCTCTCTCTCTCGCTTTCTCTCTCTCTCTCTCTCTCTCTCTCTCTCTCTCTCTCTCTCACTGGGCACCAGCTGCCTTTGTCTCAGCTGGCTGGACCTGTCTGGGAGAGGGCAGGCATAATTAGGGTTCAAGCACGCAGTGAGTAGAACCCTATTGGAATTGTCAAGATTTTTCTTCTTCTTATTATTCTTCTTTTTCTGCCCTGAAACGGAACGCACAGCCCAAACCGTAAGTCCTAGAGACGCCAAACTTGGTCAATAGGTAGTAGTCCCTCCTGCTACTCAGGCACAAGAAATCAGCCCAATCGGCCACAAGGGGGCGCTATAGCGCAGGCCAACGCGTTTGGGTCTATATCTCCTAAGCCAGATTTTTGCCAGACAAGCCATATTTTTTTCCTGGTTCTATGGGTCCAAATAAACCATTTGGCTATTTGGATTATTTAGCTCCACCCACTTAGATTTTTCGCAATACTGCAAAATATGCAAAACCTACTTTTGCGAACTAGTCCTACATCTATTTGGGGATCCTCATCTATTTGGTGTCAAAAAATTCAGAAGAGCCTGAACCTCAATAATTATCTTAAACATTTTTCAATAATTATAAAAATCATGTTTTCCAAACAACATGGCTGCCATATGCAAATGAACCCTTCTGGATAAATTCAAAATAATTCAGAATTAATTGAAAAATCTGTAACTCAAGAATCTTTCAGCCAAAAAATTTCAAACTTCACAGGCCATATCAGAAGCTCATTCTGAGATAGCCATTCGATTTTTGTGCGCATACATAAGTAGGGGGCGGAGCAACAGAAACATGGCATTTTCTCTGCATCCGTACATCCGATCAAGCTGAAACTTTGCATGCCGCTTTGGCCACAATACAAGTGCTTCTTTAAGGACAATTGGACATGTCGAAATTTGTGGTCGCCATCAGCCAATAAGCTTTCAGCAGGCCTTTTGACAGGCTTAACACTGACCAATCATCATGAAACTTGAATGGTGTCTATATGTAGCCACTTCCTAACAACCAGTCAAGTTTCAAAAGATTTGACCACTGGGGGGCGCTATTCATAAAAATAAATCTATTACATGTCATTACTATATTATTACAATTTTGACGAAAAACCCATATGAATCAATTGTAGTACATTATGCCAAACAATTTTGCCAATGGTTGTTTGTTACAAAACTGCATAGTTTTTTTGTGATCGTTAACTGTTTGAAAACCATACTTTACGAACTAGTCTCTGGATTTTGATGCAAACTTTTCGAAATTGGTTTAGGAACACTCTTTGGCCTCTCTATGTAAATAATTATCAAAAACATGTTGAGTTTTTTACTCAATGTGGTGTGCAATAATCAATTAATTGCTGCGGCCATTGCATTGCTAGCTTGATTTGCTATAACTCAACAGTCATTGGTCCGATCATCTCCCAACTTTGAGTGTTTTTACAAATTGAGACTCTAATGGGGTTTGCCAATTTTGGTCCAGATTGGCCTTTAGGGGGCGCTTTAGCACTCAAAAACACTCAAAAATCAATTAAAAAGCTATTACAATGTTATTACAAGGTCCACATATAAACAGTTAGTACCGTTAAACACCACTGCTTGTTGTTTATGGCAACTGAAGGCCTTTTGATGAACTGAGTTCCTTTCAGTTCTATTCACTCTACCTATGAATAAGACCCACAGCTTGAGGCCTTTTTAGGCCTAATGGGCTAAACCTGCAGAAGGACCCGTAGTGCTATTGCATGCTTGAACCCGCTCATTGCCGCTTGCAGCTATATTTTGAATTAATTTTTGACCATTTTTCTTTTTCTATCTTTCTATCTATGTTCACATTACAAGCTTTATTGCTCCATTCAATTTTTTTGCTCAGTTTTTCTGCCTTAAAGGTTTACTTTCATGTTTGTAAGGGACCAATGCCAGTGACATTGTTTCCTTGTGCTGCAAGCAGGCAGCCATGGCAGAAAGAAACCCTTCTGGCTCAATGTTGTGCCTGCAATGTTACTTGATTGATCCAAAAAAGTATGATGTGTTGAGCAGAAACAAAACTTCAGTAGCATGTCTCAGTGTCCAACAGAGTTATGGATTGGTTGAACCTGGATAATTGCGTGAAACGAATCAAGCATTTTTTTTTCTTTGGTTGCCTCAGGGAGTAACGAGCTGTATGTGTATTAAACAACAGACCTGCAAGTGTATTTCCTTGTATATTAAGAGGAGCTGTATCAAACTGTGTTGCCAAAAGTATGTGGACACCTGACCCTCACACCTATATGCACTTGTTGGATGTCCCATTTTAAAATTATGGGCATTAATGTGGAGCTACCCCCGTTTGCGGCTACAATAGCCTCCACTCTTCTGGGAAGCTTTCCACAAGATTTCGGAGTTTCTGTGGGAATCTGTGCCCATTCAGTAAAACCATGTCTTTATGGAGCTGCTTTGTGCACAGGGGCTCAGTCATGCTGGAACCAGAAAGGCTTTTCCCCCAGACTGCTGACACAAAGCTGGAAACATATAATAATCTAAAATATCTGTATTCTGCAGCATTATCATTGATCCTCACTGGAACTAAGGAGCCAAAACCCTGAAAAACAGCCCTAGCCCATAATCAGTCCTCCATCAAACCTTACTGTTGGCACAGTGCATTCCAGTAGGTACCATTCTCCTGGCATCAGTCAAACCCAGATTCATCTATCAGACTGCCAGATAGTGAAGTATCATTCATCACTCCAGAGAACACGTATCCACTGCTCCAGAGTCCAGTGGTGGCACTTTACACCCCTCCAGCTGACGCTTGGCATTGCATATATAGTGATCTTAGGCTTGTGTGCAGCTGCTCGGCCATGGAAACCCATTTCAAGAAACTCCACACACACAGTTCTCGTGCTGATGTTGCTTCCAGAGGCAGTTTAGAACTCTGTAGTGAGTGATTCAACAAAGGATATACAAAGGATTTTTACACACTGTGTGCTTTAGCCCTCGGCAGCTCCACTCTAAGTTTGTGTGGTCTACTGCTTCGTGGCTAAGCTGTTTTTTCTCCTAGTTGCTTGTATTTCACAATAATAGCACTAACAATAGGATGGAAACAGATGCTCGCAGACAAGGCTAGAGTTAAGATCTTTAATAACAAAAGTATGATCCAAAATCACAGTTGAAAAGCCAGAGCAAGTCAAAAACCAGAGATCCACAGCAAGACAAAAGGCCATGGCAAAAATCAGGGTCAGGACAGAAAAACAGGTCATACACGAAAGTCGATAAACAGGCAATGAAAGAACGCCCAGTATGCTCAAGATGAGACGACACTTCACAAAGAAGCTATGCTAAAGCCCGGGCTTATATACTAAACTAACTAATATATGAAATCAGGAATAGGTGTGTGAATGATCAGAAACCTGGTGAGGCTGAGCGCTGATAGGTTGATCTGTTGGAGTCCTGAGTCATGTGAGGCAGTGAGGGGTTCTGGGAATTGTAGTCTGAAGCTGTGTCGGCTGTAGTTCCTGCCATGCCGGGAGGAGGCGTGACAGTAATACATGTTCATTATAAATGTTTTCACTATTCTGTAGATCTGTAACTGTTCTTGGTGCATAACATGACACTCCCTACATTTGTAAGATTACTGCAGTAATGTAATTATGCTATTAGGAACCAACCACATAGCCCTCAACTTCCCATCTATATTCAGTGGCTTGCTCATTCAAAATGAATTCAGCCATTCATGTTCTTGATTCATTTCAAAGTGCAATAAACACTAAATTCTTCACTAAATTAAAACCATGTAATGACATTTTCATGGGTCACAGCATGCAAGTAGTAATTATGATTGATCATGTTACAAGCAAATATATTTGTTTAAGGAGAGTGTTTGCAAAACATGATATCTGACAAGTTTCATTTCTAATAAACCATGAAAAAGCAAACAGGATTAACTCTATAAAACCAAGCATCTCAATGGTGATCCATCCTGAGTCTAACATGCCAGAAGGAGTCAGACACTCGCGGTTAAAAAGATCAAATAAGGCTTTACAGATGAAAACAAAGTTGTGAAAACAGGCAAAAAGGTCATGAACAGTGATATCACAAAGACGCAAACAATCCAAAGGGTTAGGAAAACAATGGTCATAAACAGGGATCAAACAAAATAGAACGTTCAGTAAATCAAATAGTGATATAATACCTTGCAACTTGTCTATACTAAAGCCCGGGCTTATAAACTAAACTAAGAGGACCATATGACATACAACACAGGTGAACAGAATCAGTACTCCAGTAAAGGAGAGCGCTGATTGGTGCATGAGGAAAGGTCAGGAGTCAGGTGATCTCCCAGAGGATTCTGGAAGATGGAGTCCGAGTGTGGTTCAGAGCCCAATGGATGTGTGACACTGAGAATCTGGTGATAGGACCTTAAACTTGTTTAAGAAGTACCATGTCCTTCAGCGTGAGGTCCAGTACTTGGGCCATGTTGTTAGTGGCGATGGAGTGGCCACTGATCCGGCAAAAGTGGAGGCTGTCCGGAAGTGATCTGCTATGTACTATGTAGAGCTGTTACAGAGCATATTGGGCCTAGCATCACACTACCAATATTTTTGTATGGAGTTTCACAGAAACAGCCTTTCAGCAATTCTGAACAGCTCTCTCCACTAGCTAGGTCTTAGTTTTCCCTCGGCCAGACAGCTCCTGCAGTGTTGACACTGATGTCAGCAACAATGGCATAACAGCAGTTTTGTCACAGCACCAGGATGGAGAAGGAAGAGTTATTGATCGCTACAGCTATTGCCTAAGCAAGCCAGAATTGAATTACTGTTTCACATCGTGTAAGCTGTTGTCTGTGCTGTCTGGATTTAAATACTGGAATGGAGAAAAGTGTCCTAAATGACTTCGACCATGGCATGGATGGTTCTAGATGGGTTGGTTAGCATATTTCAGAAACTGATCAACTGGGATTTTTACTCACAGCAGTCTGTAGAGTTTACTCAAAATGGTGCAAAAATCAAAAAACATCCAGTTAGCCGCAGTTCTGTGGATATAAAGGCTTTATTGATAGGAATGGACAGATGTGTTTGAGCTGAAAGTAAGGCTACAGTAACTCGCATAACCACTCTTTACAACAGTGGTGAGCAGAAAAGCATCTCTGAATGCACAACATGTTGAACACTGAGGTGGATGGCCTACTATAGCAGAAGACCACATAGGGTTCCATTCTTGTCAGCCAAAAACAAAGCAGAGGCTGCAGTGAGCACAGGCTTAACTAGATATTTTTGAAAGATTTGAAAAACGTTGTCTTGTCTGATGAATCTTGATTTCTGCTGAGGCACACAGATGGCAGGGTCAGAATTCGGCATAAACAGTATGAATCCATGGACTCAACCTGCCTTGTGTCAACGGTTTAATGGTGGGGGAAATTTTTTTGAGCACACATTGGACTTCCTAAAACCAATCAATCATCATGTGAATGCCACAGCCTATTTGAGTATTGTTGCTGCCCATGTCCATCCTTTCATGGCCACAATTTACCATCTAATGGTTACTTCTAGCATGATAATGCGTCATATCACAAAGCAAAAGTTATGTCAAATGGGTTTCATGAACATGATAATGAGTTCAGTGTTCTTCAGTGGCCTTCCCAGTCACCGGATCTGAATTAATCACAGTACCTTTGGAAGAACATGGTGGAATGGAAGAATCACAGCAGGAATTTTTAACTGACAAATCATTACTGCAGTAATTTCATGATGCAGTGTGAGATGCTATGTGAAAATTAAGGGTAAGAGTAAAAAGGATCCTACCTGGTATTGGAATGGTGTTCAAGTGGCAGATGAGTGTAATACATTTGATCTTTTGTGTTTCTAATATATGTGGGGACTCTCCTGTCATTCCTGTCAAGCTTGAAATCTAAATGGACGTGATTTCTGTACATAGAGGTCCGTCACTGTCACCAGTGAGTTCAGTTTCAGGTCAGAATCAGCTGTCCCAGTCCATTTTTGTCATTTAGTAATTTGTGTTATTCTGTTTTCTTATTGTGTTTTCATACTGGTTGATATAAGAATGCACAATTTGTGTTGGTGTTGATTTCACAGAATTTGGTGCTTTCTGTGATTGGTCTGTACTGCAGCTGGTTTAAGCTGTGTCTAAATGTCATCTGTTCCTCTTTTTCTTTTCTTTCTGCAGATTGCCTAGTTTTGTGGTTACAGATGAATACTGTTATCTTTTGGCTTTAGCTCTGAAATCAAACCCCTCCCACCTGAGAGGACTGGATCTGACCCTTAATCACCCAGCAGAGTCAGGAGTGAAGCTGCTCTCTGATCTAATGGAGGATCCACACTGTGCACTGGAGAAACTACAGTGAGTTTCTGACTTACTGTCTCACTTTCTCTATCTTTCTCTATGTATTTATACATATAAATATATACATACGCTATATAAAAACTACAGTGAGTCTCACTCACTCTCTCACTCTCTCACACTCTCGCGCTCACACACACACACATGCTGTTACTTTTCTTGATTTATGCCTCCAGCCTGTGTTTGGGACAGGCTTTTCCCCTAATGAGCTTCGAATGTAATTTTTCTGCCGCTCTGGGGTAATAGACACATTTATAGTGCTTTTCCTTTACCAAAGGATGAGTTAGACTGGAGCATTTGTGAAGTACTTGGCATTTAAGGCTGTTGGTTTACTGATAAAACAAAGAAGTGAGTGGCCAATCAGAAAAGAAAAGAAAAGAAAAGAAAAGAAAAGAAAAAGCAAGTGCATTTGAAATTGCAACAGAGACCACAGTTGTCATAAACACCAGTAAATTCACTACAGGACCCGTGACACAATAAACTTAAACCCTTATTTTTAAAATGTGTGTACTTATTAAAATTAAGTAATGCATTTGATAACATGAACAACACATTAACAATTATTCACTAATATTAAGTTAAAAAAATATCAACTGCAATAGTTAATATTGTTAGTTGACTAACATTAACTAATGTATTTGTAACATTAAAACCACATGAGACACTATATTAACAATGGTTAGCTAATATTAACAAATAACGATTGCATTAATTTATTACCAAAACACGACTAGTTTGCACATTTACATCAGGTACAGTAAGTACTGAGTAACTCATAGAACTGCACATGAACATAGATCTATCAGCACAGGAGCTGAAGGTTGTGAGGCTTTATTCTTTTCTGTTTACATTGTTTTGTTTTAAAATAAAATGCTGAAGCTCTAAAGTGAGTTGTGTGATCAACAGTAAAACAGGAGCTGAAATTAAATAAAATAAAATTAAATTAAACCCAAAAATTAGCTAACCATCATAAATGTTGTATATAATTTGTTTATGTTAACGAATACACTAATTAATGTTTTAATAAAATAGTTTTAACCAGACATTACTAATGTAGTACCTCATGAGTTGTTCATGTTAACAAATGTATTACTTAATATTAGTTTGTAAACACCTATTGTATAGTGTTAACTGATGAAGTTTCAAGAACATTAAAGGTCTTTTGTGCAGTAATATGTTTGTAATGTTTTACTATTAATGAGCTGGTGTGTTGGTGAACTGTTATTTTAAAGTATGGCAAAGTCTTTATTTCATTTTTCTAGCTACAGTCATATTAAGCCTTTTCAGAAATGTGAGAGAGAAATTAAATGTTTCATAATTTTGTCTGTTTTCCATGGCATACAGTAGCACACATTCCTGCCAAAATAATTTTGAAACTGTCCTAATTAATTTTTACTAGACTAGAAACATGAAGATAAAACTAAATAGGCTACACCTTGCATTGTTGAAAAAATGTGGTTTTGGCATTACTGATACTAAGTTTTTGTCTATTTTGTCCAGACTAGCCTAAAGCCATGCAAACAATAGCACTTATTGCTCCTTGTACTTTGCAAAGTTAGCCAGTCCACAAGTAAAGTTCTCACTGCAAATCATGTCAGCTGTTCAAAACCCTAAGATCACTATGCACAATGCCAAGCGTCGGCTGGAGGGGTGTAAAGCGCTGCCACTGGACTCTGGAGACATTTTACACAGTTATCTGCTTCCGGCTTTGTGTCAGCAGTTTGGGGAAGAGCCTTTCCTGTTCCAGCATGACTGAGACCCAGTGCACAAAGCAGCTCCATAAAGATATGGAGTGACCGGTTTGGTGTGGTGGAACTCCAGTGGCCTCACAGAGCCCTGACCTCAACTCCACTGAACACCTTTGGGATGAACTGGAACATTAATTGTGAGCCAGACCTTCCTGTCCACCATCAGTGCCTGACCTCACAAATGCTCTTTTGACTGAATGGGCACAAATTCCCACAAACACCCTCCAACATCTTGTGGAGGCTACTAGATCAGCAAAGGGGAGCAACTCCATATTAATGCCCATGAATTTGGGACATGGGACATCCAACAAGCTCATATAGGTGTGATGATCAGATTTCTGTAGACTTTTGGCCATACAGTGTGATGCAGCTCTGCTCAGTGTACAAATAAATACACTTGCAGCTCTTATTAATACACACGTAGCACCTTACTCACTGAAGTGTGGTGTGGTGAAACTCCACAGAGTCTGCTCAGAGACTAGGCTGAACACCTTTGCAATGAATTTGGAATGTCGACTGCGAGCCAGGTGTTCTCTTCAGTGCCTGTTCCCAACTTTTTTGAAAATCCAAAGCTTTCCCAGAAACAGATGTACTTCCATATGAATGCCCATGGTTTTGGAATGGATTTCCATCAAGTTCATATAGTTGTGATGGTCAGGTGTCCACACACCATTACGTACACAGTTTCCTCCAAAAGTATTGGATCTATTCTGATACCTCCTATTATTTACATCTATGTATTAAACAACTTAGAACATGGCATCTTTGGTGGCAAGCCTCACAAATTTTAGATGAGCAAACATTTACGAACAGATAGTCTTAAAGTCAAAGTACAACCCCATTTCCAAAAAAAATTGTGAGGCTGTGAAGAATGTAAATAAAAATAGAATGCAATGATGTGCAAATCATGTAAACCATATTTTTTGAAGGAAAATACTACAAAGACAACATATCGAATGTTGAAACTGGAAAATATACGCCCATTTGAATTTGATGCCAACAATCCATTCCTAAAAAGTTGGGACGGGGGCCTGTTTACCACTGTGTTTCATCACCTCTTCTTTTAACAACACTCTGTAAGTGTTTGGGAACTGTAGATTTGGAAGTGAAATGTTTTCCTGTTCTTGTTTGATACAGGATTTCAGCTGCTCATCAGTTCAGGGGCTCATTTGTCGTATTTTTCATTTCATAATGTGCCAAAAATGTTATCAGTGGTGACCGGTCTGGACTGCAGGCAGGTCAGTTTAGCACCCGGACTCTTTTAATACGGAGCAATGCTGCTGTAATACATGCAGAATGTGTTTTGACATCGTCTTGCCGAAATAAACAAAGCCTTCCCTGAAAAAGACGTTGTCTGGATGGCAGCATTTGCTTTTTTATACCCAATCATGATACTGAACTCTTGCCAATTAACCACCAGGTGTTTTTTTTTTAGTATTTGCACAACTTTACCAGACTTCTGTTGCCCCCATCCCAACTTTTTTGGAATGTGTTGTTGGCATCAAATTCAAAATATATTTTTCAAAAAACAGTAAGATTTTTCAGTTTCAACATTTGATTTGTTGTCTTTGTATTATGTATGATTTCAGTGATTTGCACGTCATTGCATTTTGCTTGTGCCCATTTTTTTGGGGTATGGGGTTGTAAATAACACTTAATATTTGGTTGTATGTCCCCACTGACATCACCAAAACAGTTTGATTCTTCTTTTGTGATGCTTTTCTAGGCTTTTACTGCAGCTTATTTGCTTCAAGCCAAAATAAAAATATGAAAGGAATTTGGATCTTAAACACCCAACATAAAATTAGTTTATATGCAGATCCCTCATATGTAGAATAGTTATAATCAAAATGACAACATTGCCCAGAGTTAATTACTTATTCTCAGTGATACTTCTTCAACCTCACACAACTTGTTTTAAGTCCTTAGACAACACTATCTCAAATTTATATGGAAAAAATAAACCAACTGGAATCAAAATGACCACATTACAGAATTCAAAAACCCATGGAGGTTTAGAAGCTCTAAATTTTTACAACTATTTCATTGTAAATCAATTACAATATATTCTAAAATGGATAAATTCCGAACGGACATATTACACATGGATCGATGGAGAACAAACACTATACAAAGATACCCGGATAGCAGACTTACCATTCATCACCCAAACACTGAAAAATCAGGACTGCTTTAAAAATCCAACAATAGCAACAACTCTGATAGTTGATGGAAGTTTCACAAAATCACAAATACTCTGTCTCTGAATATTAACTCCCCCATTTCGGAACAGCCCTGACCTCCTCATAAATAAAAAAACACTGCGCTGTGCTTCCTGGATTGATAAAGAAATGCACAGAATAGTTTCTAGATCAGACGCAAAAATAACTTTGCCGACTATTCAATGGAAAGAAGATCTATCCATCACTCCCAGTGCTGATTTCTGGTTGCAGATGTGCAGAAATAATAGACATGTGAATTCAAGTACTAATTTACAGCTCATACAATATAAACTTTTTCACATAATACATTACCATGGACAAAAGATGTTCAAAATGGGATTTACCAGCTCTGAAATCTGTTCACATTGCACACAGAATACCACAGATAATTATATCCATGCCATGTGGCACTGCACACCTATAAAACATTTCTAGCAAGAAATTATAAATCTATTAGCACTCTGTTTAAATATAACTATGTCCCTAGAACTATGTCTGTTAGGAGACACATCAGCAATCAATATGACAAAGAAAACTTCCACCGCACTACTCACAGCCCTAACCATCGCCAGGAAAACCAACCTCATGAACTGGAAGTCAAAAAATGTCATTACTGTCATTCACTGGAAAAACTCGCTATTGGATTGTATATCTATGAAAACATCTGCTTTCATCAAACACAAAAACACTCAGTTTGACTTAATCTGGACACTGGTTATTAACTTTTTACAACAATATTTTTCCTGATAAATCAGCTTTACTGGAGAAGCTGGTATACTGTGATCCAATACACAGTTCAAAACTACTCTATGCATAAATATCTTTGACCATAAACTCTTTCCCCTTCTTTTAATTAAATGATTCTTTCATCATTGCATTCTGTTTGTATTTATATTTTGCACAGCGTTCTAACCATTTTGGAAATGTGTGTAATATATATATATATATATATATATTGAATTCCAGCGTGGTACCGTGATAGGATGCGACCTGTGCAACAAGTACAGTTGTGAAATTTCCTCACTACTAAATATTCCACAGTCAGCTGTCAGTGGTATTATAACAAAGTGGAAGCGATTGGGAACGACAGCAACTCAGCCACGAAGTGGTCGGCCACGTAAAATGACAGAGCGGGGTCAGCGGATGCTGAGGCGCATAGTGCGCAGAGGTCACCAACTTTCTGCAGAGTCAATCGCTACAGACCTCCAAACTTCATGTGGCCTTCAGATCAGCTCAAGAACAGCGTAGAGAGCTTCATGAATGGGTTTCCATGGCCGAGCAGCTGCATCCAAGCCTTACATCACCAAGCGCAATGCAAAGCGTCGAATGCAGTGGTGTAAAGCGCCGCCACTGGATTCTAGAGCAGTGGAGACGTGTTCTCTGGAGTGACCAATCATGCTTCTCCGTCTGGCAAACCGATGGACGAGCCTGGGTTTGGCAGTTGCCAGGAGAACGGTACTTGTCTGACTGCATTGTGCCAAGTGTTAAGTTTGGTGGAGGTGGGATTAAGATTTGGGGTTGTTTTTCAGGAGTTGGGCTCGGCCCCTTAGTTCCAGTGAAAGGACCTCTTAATGCTGCAGCAGACCAAGAGATTTTGGATAATTTCATGCTCCCAACTTTGTGGGAACAGTTTGGGGAGTTTGGTCCCTTCCTGTTCCAACATAACTGAGCACCAGTGCACAAAGCAGCTCCATAAAGACATGGATGAGTGAGTTTGGTGTGGGAGAACTTGACTGGCCTGCAGAGTCCTGACTTCAACCCGGTAGAACACCTTTGGGATGAATTAGAGCGGAGACTGTGAGCCAGGCCTTCTCGACCAACATCAGTGTCCGACCTCACAAATGTGCTTCTGGAAGAAGGTCAGAAATTCCCATAAACACTCCTAACCCTTGTGGAAAGCCTTCCCAGAACAGTTGAAGCTGTTATAGCTGCAAAGGGTGGGACAACATCATATTAACCCCTATGGATTGAGAATGGGATCTCACTCAAGTTCATGTGTGTGTGATGGCAGATGAGCGAATACTTTTGGCAATATAGTGTGTGTGTGTGTGTGTGTGTGTGTGTGTATATGCATATATATATATATATATATATATATATATATACACACACATGTGTATATATATGTATGTGTGTGTGTGTGTGTGTGAAAAATCTGAATATATGGAATAAAACTCTGAATATATAGAGTGAAATCTGATGTCATCAAAGTACTTGCGCCATCTTGTGCAGTGCGTTGCTATGACTGAGCCTGCATGAAATCTTGTGGCATTAATCCTGAATAGTGAGGGGATAATTGACACCCTGGTGAACGGATGTACGGGCCAAAATTATACTAGAAAGAAGCATGCCTCCCACCTCACAGGAGCAGCCCACAAGCAGCCTAGAGTGCAGTAATGAGTAAAGAGTGGTTGTAGAGATGGGGTATGGTGTTGGGGTTCCACTTTAAATGCCTTCCCGGGGTGGATGTCGAGGGCTATCCCCGCTACAAGCGATCACATCCCGAGGGGGTGGATGTAGAGGGCTATCCCTGTTACAAGCAATTGCGTCCCAGGGGGCACCTGGGGTGTTAATTATCCCCTTACTATTCAGGATTACTGCCACTAGATTTCGTGCTGACTTAGTCATATCAACGCACTGCCGGCATCTGTACGGAATCTCACACATTCGAAAAACAAGATGGCGCTAGTGCCATATTCTCAAGGTTCATTCCATATTTTCAGGGTTTTCAATCATTTGTACATGTGTGTGTATATATATATATATATATATATATATATATATACACACACACACACACACACACACATATACATTGTGTGTGTGTATGTTCAGCTTTGGTGCATTACTAACAATCTGTAATTGTGTCTTTGCATCAGAGTGCATCTTGGAGAGACGGTCATGATCAAACTGGGGCTAAAGAAATGTAAGTATGCACACAAATACACACACACACACACACACACACACACACACAGAGCTTGTGTTATAACTTCTAATCTGCTTTTTGTGTGCAGATTTCTGTGAGCTCACCCTGAACCCAAATACAGTAAGCACAGGTCTCTGTCTGTCTGAGGGGAACAGAAAGGTGGAGAGTGTGAGTGAGTGGCAGCCGTATCCGGATGATCTGGAGAGATTTGATTACTGTAATCAGGTTCTGAGTGTGGAGAGTCTGACTGGACACTGTTACTGGGAGGCTGAGTGGAGCAGGAAGGCTGTTATAGCAGTGGCATATAAAGGGATCAACAGGAAAGGAGATCTTAAAGAAAGTGGATTTGGATACAATAATCAGTCCTGGAGTCTGAAATGCTCTGAAAACAGTTTTTCTGTATGGCACAATAATCAAAAAACTGCCACACCTGACCCCCTTTACCACTCTAACAGAGTAGGAGTGTACCTGGACTGGTGGTCTGGCACTCTGTCTTTCTATACCATCTCCCCTAACACACGAACACTGACCCACATACACACATTCACCACTACATTCACTGAGCCGCTCTACGCTGGATTCTGGGTTGGCGATGAGTCCTCAGTGCATCTGTGTGAGAGACAGAATAGAGTCCAGGAGACACACCTGAGCCTTCAGGGAACAAACTATTCTCTACACCTCTGAAGTGTAATGAGTAAGAAATGCATAAGAAATTTTATTTCTTTTGGTCACTAATGATGTCACTGTCCAACTACATACACTGTAGGGACAAAAGTATGTGAACTGACATCACACCTATATGAGCTTGTTGTACATCCCGTTCTAAAACCGTGAGCATTAATATGGAGTTGGCCCCCTTTGCAGCTCTAGCAGCCTCCACTCTTCTGAGAAGTCTTTCCATGAGATTTTGGAGAGTGTCTGTGGGAATTTGTGCCCATTCAGTCAAAAGGGCATTTGTGAGGTCAGACACCGATGTTGGACAGGAAAGTCTGGCTCACAATTAATGTTCCAGTTCATCCCAAAGGTGTTCAGAGGGGTTGAATTCAGGACTCTGTGCAGGTCACTGGAGTTCCTAAACTGGTCACTCCATGTCTTTATGGAGCTACTTTGTGCACAGGGGCTCAGTCATGGAGAATATAATATGGCATATAATTGTGTAAAATGTCTTTGTATGCTGTAGCATTAACACACTCCTCTACACACACAAGTAGTGAACAAAATAACAAATTTTATTTTATGATTTTATTTTGGGACGTTCATTTAGATTGTTAAGATAGCTATATATCACCCTGGTGTTGGGCAGCTCTGTTGTATCTGCCAACGTGTATCTGTTATGTCTATATAGTTAACTATCTCAGCACCCTTATCAGAAACAAACAGCATTCACCTCTAACTTCAAGCACTCAGGCAGTTTCTCTCCAAATTGTTTACTGGAAACATTACAGAGCAGTGTGATGTGACATGACACACCAGGTAATGCCGGTTTTGCTGTTGTCACTTGCTAGCATCGCTTGCTTTTAGGACAAAGTTGATGTTGCTTCCAGAGGCAGTTTGGAACTCTGTAGTGAGTGATGAAACAGAGGATAGATGGTTTTTACAAACTTCAGCACTTGGCAGCCCTGCTCTGTGAGTTTGCGTGGTCTGCTATTTCATGGCTAAGCTGTTGTTGCTCCTAGATGCTTCCATGTTACAATAACGGCACTTACAGTTGTCAGTGGCAGATGTAGCAGGACAGAAAGTTCACAAACTGACCTGTGGCAGAGGCAGCATCCTATGACAGTGCCACGTTTAAAGTGTCTGAGCTCTTCAGTATGACCCTCTACTGCCAGTGTTTATCTATGGAGGCTGCAAGGCTGTGTGCTTGATTTTATACACCTGTAAGCAATGAGTGTATCTAAAATAACTGGACTCAATTATTAGGAGGGGTGTTCACATACTGTTGGCCATATAGTGTATCTGTAACCTAACCATCAGTGTGCAAATCAGCTATAGCTAATTTATATAATATAGCAGATCTGTTATATAAGCTATAGCCTATTTTCTCATTATCAGGCTATTGTTGTGTGTTAATATCACATACTTAATGTTAATGTCACAAATGTATTGGTGCTTGAGAAAGTGCTGGATAATTTCATGGAAACGAACCATGAATGAGATCAAAGATGTTCCCGTACCCCAGGGGAAAACCAGACGTTCTAGAAAACACACCCCTCTACACACACAAGTAGTGGACAAGATGGCCTTTTTTATGATTTTATATTTCTATTAACTTACTAAATATAACTATTGCTTATTTTACTAAATTTACTAAAACACACACTTAATTGCTTGTAGTACTACACTGTTACCAGTGAAGACCAATGATGGCACTGGCACCACTGTCTGGATGCCCAGCAAAACCTCTCTGACATCTTAAAGAAGCACACGCATGTCAAAATATTGCAGTCCACAGTGGTTTGAATGATACTGCCTGTCAGGTATCAGAGATTCATAAGTCCCATTTTATTTGCCACATTGACTTTCTTAAGGGCTATGGCAAGTACATTTTTATTTATGGTCCAGTCCCCACAGTAGTCTGTGGAGTTCAATAGACTGCTGAGTTTGAATACTTGGATACACTCAGTCATGCTTTTTTTAAAAGGGACCTACATACAAACACACTTGCTTTAACAGCCAACATTCTTCATGCTACTCTGACAGCTCTTCCACACAACATCTGGTTCCTTCCACCACCTCCCAAACAATTTTGACCATTACTTCAACTGGCAACTGGCACCTATTTCAGAAATGCAGTGTGTGGGTAGAGAGTTTAGAGTTCCCATTCTACAAAAGGCTCTAGTTTCAAATTAAAATTGTCTATAAAAACAACTTATGACCACAAAGGTATGACGTAACCAAGTATTCAGACTCAGCAGTCTTCACATTCTTCAAATTTTTACAAGATATAGAAGGCGCAGGGGCAAGGAAGGGGTGGAGGGTCATACTGTCACCAACCTTATTTATGTCGCACTTTCAGTAAATGATACTGAAGAAAACCCCAGCAATTTTATCTTTAGATTAGCACATCTTGATATTTATTAGCATGTCTTTTATTAGTCTTTTATTAGCATGATCTTATTACTGAACATAAACTTGTATGTTTTTATCTGACTTAATGGTGATAGTGGTCCTGCAGTTTTAACTGAAGCTGCTCCATCATGCTATCACTTTCCATCCTCCAGAAGACAAAGCAAACAAGGTGGTGGGACAGCTTCTGTGATCTCTGAGCAGCTACAGCACTGGAGCAAAGTGGTAGGAAAGTTTGGCTCCTTTGAACATCACATGGTTCTGCCAACCACCTTTGCTGGTTGTAACAATCTATAGGCCACCCAAAGCTTGCCCCAATATTATGAATGATTTCTCTGAACTCTATTCAATAACATTAACAAGTGAAGATTTTATTTTAATAATTAGTGATTTTAATTTATTTGTTAACCCTACATGTGCACACTTTTGATGCTTTTAGTTTAGTCAGCATTGACATAACAGCACTTGAGTTCTCCACCTGCTCTTTAGATCCTGCCCCCAACTCTGTTTATTGGTTTAGGGAACAATGAGCCTCATTCACCAACTGTTACTTCATCAATGTTTTCTTATTTGGGATTTGTTCTTAGGTAAGAACAGAATCTACACACACTCAAGTGCACAAAGGTGAGAACAGTTCTACAATTTAAAACATGTTATGAATCTGATGTAGACTTTTTATCAGGAATTTTCCCAACAAATTTAAGAAAAAACTTGGTGAATGAGGCCCATGATGATAAAATGATTTCGGGTCATTTTACCTCAGCTTTTAAAACTGCTTTGAACAGGCCTCTTCTGAAGAAAAACAACTTGGATCCATCAGTAGTCAGTATATTTAGACCAATCTCAAACATTATTTTTAAAACAAAACTATTGAGAAAATGGTTTTTAAGCAATTAAACTCCTACTTTATTTGAAACATTTTAGTGTGGCTTTCATGGGCATCATAATACTGAGGTAATACTGGGTCCTGATTCTCATTCTTTTACATTTGAATGCAGCTTTTGACACCATAATATATCAATCGACCACCTTTTTGGCTCTGCTCTTACCTGGTTTAGATTTGTTTGTGTCACTCAGTGATTCTTCATCCTGAGCTGCGACATACAGAATTCCCAAGGGTTTCATTTTGGGTCCCATTTTATTCTATCTGCATTTGCTTCCACTTAGATCCATAATCAGAGAGCATGAGACTGATTGCCGTTGCTATGAATGACACAAATTTTTATATTTCAGTTTCGCATGAGGAGACAGACCCTTCTGAAAGAATAATTTGATTCACTGATTATATTAACAATTGGATAGAACTTTTCCAACTGCACAGAGAAAAAAACAGAAATCCTGATCTTTGGGTCCAAAGTGCACAGATTTAAATTTTCATATTCATATTAAAAACACCACCAAAAACTGTCTTTTATCTTCTTAGAAATATCATGATATTTCAACCATTCCGCACTCGTAGGGATGTAGAGAAGGTTGGACTACTGTAATGCTTTTCCTTCAGGTCTCTCTAAGAAATCTACTAACAACTGCTTCAAAATGCTGATGTGCAAAAAGACCAAAAAGAAAGACCATATTAAAGTCCTTCCAGTGGCTACCCATTAAGTTTAGAATTTATTTTAAAATACTTTTATCAGTTTGTAAATCTATTTGTGTACTGACCCCCAAATATATCAGACATGATTCAGTCTTATGAACCAAACAGATCCCTCTGCTCTGCTAGTAGGTGGCAGTAATTGCAATAAATGCTATGTGTCAAGCAGCCATAGAGTCTTGAGTGAATACCTCTATGAAACTGTTTAGACAGGTCAATAATAATAATAAAAAAAAATCATTTAAATCATTAAAAAAAAATGTCCAAAATAAAAGCATTTTTCTTACTTTTACAGGTGAGTTCTGCATATGCGTACTGAATTATATATGCAATTTGCATCACAGATATAATGTTTACACATAGTATTGCCTAGTTGTCTGAGTGTTGTGAGTGTTTGCTAGTGTGTATTTTTGTGCCTCACATCTTTTCAGATTAACATGTAAAAAACAGAACAGATTTGCAGATGCTGTTATCTTTGAATTTGTTGTAAACATTTGGCTTGGTGCTTACTTATTTGCAGTAAACCTTTTTGGTTTTAAGATTATTGAGGAGTTAATTCTATTAATATGTGGCGTCAGGCTCGTCTGTTCTGTTTCATTAAAAATGACATGTTGATTTTAGGCTGCTTGGTTCAGTGTGTCACAGGGCGTAGTAGTAGGCCAATTGTGCTCTCTTGGACTCCCGGCTACGGACGGCTGTAGCATCACCAGGGATCAAACTCGTGATCTCCTGATGAGAGAGAGGGGGGGGGGCGGGGGAGCTGTGGAACAGAGGTAACCTAGTTCAACACCACTGGTGTATACCCCAAATTAGAAAAGGTTTGGGTGGTGTGTTACATTAAAATTAAAACTGAAAATAGTGATTTGTAAATTATTTTAGGCCTGTATTACCTTGAAAACAATTTGATGTTTTACCTCATGAACTTTATAGCTTTTTTCAAAATAAACACATTTCAATTTTTTTTTCATGCAACATTTTTCCAAAAAAGGTGGGACAGTAGATCATTTGCCATGTTGTAATGTTGCCATTTCATTTTGCATTTTAAAATGCACCACACATTCACCACGCAGTGAGTTGCAGTAGTCAAGCCTTGAGATGACAAGAGAC